AATTGAAATAAACAACAATTTTCAGGTGGCTTTAATTGAAATAACAATTTTCAGGTGGCTTTAATTGAAATAAATAACAATTTTCAGGTGGCTTTGAAATTAATGCAACACGTAAAATTGTCTATTTTATTGCCATCCTGGTCATCACAGGATATTTGATCACTCTCTATTTAATATTTTGCATAATATTAGCACGACATGCAAATTCGCTTTCATCATTTCAATGCGGTATGTGTTGCAAGGATTAGAACCGGAAGTACGCGCGGATTTGCGTAAATGAAGGACGGTAGGCGGCTTTCCTAGGAGATGTATATTGAACGGGTGATAGATGAAATAAATAATACTAAAACTAAAGAAAGGGAAAGAGGGAGAGAGAGAGGGAGAGAGGGAGAGAGGGAGAGAGATATATTATCATCAAGAGTTATATAAACAGTTTGAAGAAAGACTTACGTAATCCGTAAATACGTAATCCGGAAGGAAATATTTCAATTACGAATAAAACTAAAATCAAGCAATAACAGATTTGCAGAAGAAATTAAATTTCATCCGCAAACTCCAGAAAGAAAAATAAAACAATGCGGAATGATTAAGCTTCCGGATCGTGCTAATCGATCACATTGTAGCAAGTTGGCTAAAACAATGGCATCTAAAATAATGTTCAGAAAGGATACTGTAAGTACAAAATTAAGATATTATTTAAAAATGAAAATAAATAAATAAGCGATTAAAGCATTAAGCATACTCAAATTAGATTTAATATAATAAACGAAGATTAAAGATTAATTTAACACTATTCTTTGATGTCATCAGATCAGGAAAAAAAAATTCTTACAAACATTTGATAAATTTTTGAGGAAAAAATAATCTCAATTATTGAAATTGATAGGAATTAAAAAGGATGACAAGTTATTTTTGATATGTTTAATTAGCCTTACTTTACTGAACCATTAATACTAGGCTCAGTTTGTTGTTATCACGTATATAGATAGGCTCGTATGATAATATAAATATGATAATGTAAGTTTATTCATTCAAAAACTGTATTTAAATAGTCCAGGATATCTAAATTTTACAGCTAACTTCATTTTTGTTATTTGGTTGCCAGTAATATTAAGATGGAAAATCTGGAATGAAATTATTTCAGGAAACAGATTTAGCAAATTCGACAAGTTCAACATACAAAAAACGAGAATTAAATTTAACCGGAAGTGAACTGCAACGGCAGTTTCCTAAAAAACATGCTAATGCTATAAAACAATCTCGAAATTTCATGAAAGATTTGAGTGAATCAAAAAGTAACAAATTATTCGGAAAACATTTTGTCAACGTTTGTAACAGTCCACCAATACGAAAAAGTTTATTCGTGCAACTAAATTCGCAAAATCCATCAAAAATTTCACAATACTTGAATACTATAACATTAACATCTCGAGAAAGAACTCGAGAAGATCCATGGCAAGGATCATTAAAATATGATAATACGGATTCTCGAGAAAGAACTCGAGAAGATCCATGGCAAGGATACATTAAAATATGATAATACGCAAAACAGGATAAAAGGATACTTTAAAAAATCCAGTAATACAAGAAGACTAACGGAAAA